ACATTTGCAGTACAACTGATATAGCACCACCAAGTAAAGGACAAATAACAAAGTATTGGAGTAACATATAACACATTCCAGTACATTATAATGAACATGATACATGGATAAAAGACGACAATGAGATACCACAGCATACCACAACAAAATCAGAATAACTCATCACAAACGAAGACCTGACAACGATGATACTAAAAACATTGATAAGTCCAGATGCAGAAGCACATACATAACTACTGGCACAAACAATTTACGTCCGTGTACAAACCTCTAGCTAAATAAATAGAACCCAGAGTTCACCATAGACTGATGATTGGCCTATATTATATAAGATCATCACAGCGCCAACAGCAAATAAAATTTACCAACATCGAACTAAGAATAACATACTGAAACAAAAAGGTGTAAAAGAGGAAGTCTAGGCATTAAAAAACAACCCACAAGACAATACGATAAGGAAACATGTTAAAAACTGCCAACAAAATCTACATGTAACATAACATAGATTTATTACAAACAAGCTATGGTCTATGGTATATGGTACTTCATAAATGGTTTTATATATGTCTTAAACCTTTGTCAAGTGGTGATAAAAAATGTACGCATCTACACGAAAACAATTGTAGGGAATGTTAAAAACAATAATAATAATGTTGAAATATATACACATGGAGTCAATAACAAGTAAATGTAAAACTTTATATACAAAAAAAGGAAAATGGAAACACTAAATAACGAAAGAAATGGATCATGCCACAACACGAGATCTTCACGCAGTTGCAAAAAATAAAATTTTAGTTTAATTGATGGCGACGCTTACAAATCTGATTCATAGTAACAGTATTTTAAGCTATACAGAAGTACACTAACTTTATTTCTTAAAACCAGAATCAGTTCTGTTACACAATCTATCTGTCACAGTGAATGACATCACAGAAGCTTTAGTTCTTAACACTAAAATCAGTTCCAAGATCTTTCAAGAAAATAAAGTTTTCTCACTTTATCATCAAAATTCAGAACAGACTCTTATAAATACAATTTTGTAAAAGAAAATCAAAAAGACCACTTCGAAAATTTAAAAATACACTTCTGCACGGCACTGGAAACTGGTCCACTGTAAAACCTGATCTTGCGCAATGCAAAGCATACAGTCGGCGACTGGCACGGTGGTAAAGTGTAAAAAAAAACGAACTGACAAAAAATGAAAGAATTTCTTTACTGAGGAAAGAAATACATAAATAAAATTTTGTAACACCTATTTTATATCAGCAAATTCAACTGCTTTTGCCGCTGTTGTTATTAATTAATAAAATTAATTTGTGGCTTTATTTAATAAAATAATCTGACATAATTGATTTTACAACTATTCAAAATTTTGTCCAACTACGGATGTGTAAACACATTTAAACCGGTCTTACCCATAACACAAATGTTGTCTTGCTTCACACGTAAGCCATTTTTGACACGAAAAACTAATGTAAACACTATCGTTAACACTAAAATCGGAGATCAGTACTCGGAATCGCCTAGGGCCACATGGAAAGATAACGCATTGCGCACAGAGCACAACGCGAATGACGCTAGAGACTACAATAGCCCAGCGATGTAAAGGTTGTAAATAATACAATTTAAATAATTTTTTTCTCGGAAACTACATAATATGTAGTTTCCGAGAAAAAAATCATGCATCTATCCCCAAACTGTTTTGGATAAGTTGTGAATCACCCTGTATTTTATTCTCATCAAGGTTTTAGAGATGCAAGGCTCCCCAGTTTCCTCTAAGTATAATCTCTTTATCTGCGTAGTGTTGAAAAATGTCAAGAAGCTTAACACATTGAACAAATTATCAAAGAGAAATTTTGACCAGGGGCCAGTATTCCTGAATCCGGACCTATATACGACCTCACCCAAATTGACGGTAGTTGTCCCATTGTACAGCGTTGAGAAGGCCGTGATTAAATATTCATTCCGATTCAAGTTTTTTTTTCCTGTTTTGTTAGTACTTGCTCGGCCTTACGTGCTAGCTGCTACGGGTCGCCACCCCTTCACGAGCCACCCCTTACGCTCGTTTTTTTTCCCGCTTTATCAATCCCACGAACGTTCAATGAAAAATTGCCGTTGTGATCGGTAATAACTGGGGATAGTATGTATGTGTGTACATAAACAGTGGATGCCGAGTTTATTGATCTGCTCCGGCATCCCTTCCCGCTCGGCGGGGGTGGCTTTTTAGTCGGGGAGGACTCACGAAGCCGATGGAGCTTATTATGGCGGCGTTCGGAGATGCCGCTTTTGCTGTGCGATCTTGTTGCATTTTTGTCGGCTGGCTTTCGTTTTACGCACGAGGAGGTAGATGGTTGGCGGGTGAATAGGGTCGGTGCTTTTAATGATCGCCCGACATTTACGCTTTGCACCTCATTGTTGGTGCGCGAAATGGGTGTTTAAGGACAAACGTCAAGCGTGATATCGTTTTTTTAAAGTCGTCGCTTTCACTTCTTGTTCGTTTTGAATCCATCATCGATTTTTATTATGAAGATGTTTATCTGTAGAGGCTTTGTTTTCGTTTAACTGAGAAGAATATATTCAAGTCTAAACTTTCGTAGGAAACGTGATAATTATACTCCATTGTATAAATAAATGATACACTATTACCCAATTCGCTTCAAACTGAAAATATTTTGGTATTCAGGCGTCTTGGCCAGGCCTGATTATTTACAATTAAAAATAGGTCCAAGGTCTATAGTAATGAAGTTGCTAGTATTTCGATTTCAAATGTGACTACGTGCTGTTTAAATATGATTTTCTACACGTAAAAAAATGTTTTCTTGAATAAAAATTACGTTTATTTTCATATACCTATTTGTATTAAAATATCGCAATCTCTAATTAACCATTTTTTTCCACCGAAATCTGTTTATTTAAGAGAAATATGTTTTATTTAATCGACAAAATGTTTTATTTAGTTCAAGGTTACAATAAACTTATTAAAATCTTATTATTTTAAATAAAACGTATTTCAAGAAAAATTGCTTCTTAATTCAAGATTATATTTCAAAAAGGAAATAAAAGTTGTTTCAACATTTTTTTCTCGTGTTTGCCACTTAAATGTGGTGTTAAAATATATTTTTTTCCTACGATGATATATAATATAATAATAATAATATCTCTACTCCTCATTCTAACTACGAGAGTTAGCCCAGAAGTCGTAGACTTGTGCGGGAGAGGAGGCGGCATATTATTATTACGCGGGCCGCATTTGCGCCCAGGAACGACTTATGTTGGTAGGCCCTAACCACCATTCAGTGCAGGAATGAGGGAAACCTGGAAAACCTCATTAATTAGGGGGGTGGTCAAATGCCAACCGGTGTCAATCTCTCACATTGACCCAAGCCAACATTCTTCCACCCTACCATACCTGCACAGAGGGTGCCAATCCTCCGTACAAGCATAGCTAATCTACGGTCTACCGGCCGCGGGATTCGAAACCCGGGCAGATCGACACATCGATTTAAGTACTGACGCCTTAAACCGTGCGGCTATCGACCGATATCGGGACTTTTTTTAGCAGGCACTTTGTTACTTTTTTCTTACCAGAATATAGTATTCTCATTTTAGGCTTTTTTAAACAATTTTTAAAAACAATTTTTATTTGCTTAAATGATAGTTTTTTCTTATACTTAACTTTATATAAAGCCTATTGAAATTTTCAAAAGCAAATTCACTTTGTTGTCTATTAGTACCTATTTTACAAATTAGGTACAATCTTGGTGTATTTTCTGATAATTCTTTCAATCAGTCGATAACTCGTTTTCCTTTTCCTGTTTGAATTGTTGTACAATTTTTTGTATCACTTATTCTTGCCCGCATATTGAATTGCTTTAATTCTGTTCTTGTTTATATTTGACTTTTGAGAATATTTGACGTTTATTTTCTTCGACTTGTAAGCCTCGAGTTGATTTTTCTTATTACTATTATTTCTAATCTTTTGCACTTTCTAATTTTTTTTTATACTACTATGTTTTTCACAGATTTCATTGTAAATTATATTTATGGATGGACCTTAACTTATATTTTGCTTTTCACTTTATTTTTATACCTACTATATTAAATTCGAATTTGTTTCAATTATTTTTAGATTGGGTTTATCGCACTACACTACACTTGTAAGTTTATTTTTCTTACATAAATACTTCCTTATAACGATCTACATATACAAATAATTAGTTACAAATATTTTTCCAAATTCTTACTCAACGGTACCGACGATACCGTAGACGAACATAAGACCACGCCTTCCATCCCACCACGCACGCGTGGAGTTACTGTATTTTCATGAGATATTTTCATTCTAAAGATGCGAATTTTTGTTTTGCACCATCGGAATGTACTATATCAGTATTTTTATACCTAAAACCTTATTATCATTTTTATGTTATGTATACACATATCAAATGATTTTTTTTATTATCAGTTTTGCAACTGTAAACGTGTAATTGCAATTTTTCTAGTATTTGACCACTACAGAAATCATTTTTTCTCATAATTCGTTCAATTTCGGTCAGCAAAGGTAATAAATCTTAAATGGTAGGATAAGCACTAATAAAATAAATGTAGCATGTTATCTATCGAGCAGGTATGTGGATGTAGATAAATAAAATCCAATTTCATGATTCATTTACTGGAAGAAGTCTTCGAAACGTCATTTAATGTGATATGTATTGAATTTGAGACATTTGAGAAACTAGATTTTATCCGCCTTTCAATGTGATTAATTACACAAGGCTCACTTTGTATATCGAAACTAGCAAAATGTTGCAAAAAAAAAACATTTTCAGGGAATATATTAAGGTTATCCTAGTATGTAAGTGAGTGATCTGTCGACTGTGAAGTTTGAAAATAAACCGATTTGCCTAGTAGAATTTTTTTTGGGTGGCAATAAAAGCCAATTTGATATTAGAGATCAATCTGCCAGGAAAGCGATGAAGCTGTTAATTTGTACTTACTTGGCATTTTTTGGGTAAACCTTCCGATGCACGTAATGGAAGTCGTCTTCTGGTTCCTTCGGCATCAGTGGCGTTCGATCGGGTCGTTGATGGGTGGGCGATGTGTGCGATCCATATCCGTCTGGATTTAACTAAAGACAAAAAAAAATGAAACAAAACTTGTTTAGCTAGTGCTAAAAATAAATGCTGATCGTCGAGGTAGTTAATTATTACTAACATATATGAAACCAAAAATCTATTTTAGTCGGTCGTATGATTGATAGAGAGACAGAAACCATACGCCAACGAGATTTGTTACATCCATACAGACACGAACTGGATAATGGAATTTCGATCTGATTACGTCTGATAAAATGGATGTGCTTCTATTTCTGTGCGCGATTTGGGGGCTACTGTGTAACGACTACACGAAAATGAAGTTAAAAATCTATTCGGTGTTAATAATACATGTAATAATAAAAATCGGGTTAATTAATGCGAGTAGCTCGAAGCACAGCTTTCTAGAAAGTTATATTGTATAATTTAATTTGGAGCAGAACCTTTCTTTTATAAATTTCAGAAATAGTAATTTTTATTTCAGAAAATATAATTGCATTTCATTTAGGTTAATCATATTCCAGATTATAGGTATATCACAAATTATGTATTTTAGAAATTATCATCAAATATATTTAGAATTCGTCAAGGGAATTTCAGAAAAAAAATTAAAATGATTTTAAGAATTTTAGATTTTTAAACTCAATCTTTAAAAAAGAATATAATAAACATCTCTTTTTCAATGGTATCCTTTTAAAATATACCACAGTGTATATTTCTACAATTTTATAATGTTTCTATTCGTTAATTTATTTTAACAAACAGAAAGAACTAATTTATTAATTGTAAATGCAAATTTTCATAGATTCAAATTTTCAAGTTTGGTTTTTAACCAGTATTTTTTCTACTCTAAATGGAACTGGATTTTCTGGAATAACTATTTTACCGATTTGCTATGATTTAAAACGATTTCAAGACTGAAATTTATAAAAATAATAAACCAGTGATTATGCGGTAATTCAATAGTCAAATGTCATTTTCCTAATGTAATTAAACAGGATCTTGTCAATAAGAGATAATTTAAATTTTGAGGATTATACAGGGTTTCCGGTAAATATCTTCTAATCTCTCGGAAGTGTATACTTAGGGGAGTTCAACATAACAATACTACTCTCTATCCTTACGTTCCTTCTAAGGAGATATTGGGCCAATAGGGGTACCTAGATATTTATGTTTTGGGTTTTTACTTTAAAATTACCCTGTATATTTTGATACAATTTTGGAGCAGAGTATTACAGATCGATGATTTGCTTTGATGTTAAAACAGTCTTTTACTGTCACTGTAGCAACAATTGAATGCAATTTTTTTTATAATTTCCATCCATTAGCCTTTTTATGTGGTGTCAAAAGAACTCATTCATTTAACACACGAAAATACTAAGTGTAAAAAGGTGTAATGGAGAGTTGATTTTGACCACTTTTTTTTTATTTATTTGTATTTTCTATTATAATGTATAAGTTTATTTTTAATTTGTTTCTCTTAAGCTACGACTTAGCATTTTAAAGGTTTTTTGATTTGGCAGAGTTAAATGATATACAAAATAATTTGTAACACAATAGACACTCTTCTTGCTGCCTGTTTCAAAATCGGATTATCTCGAAAAACGTTTCTTTTGTCGAAATAAATGAAGAGTGCTTTGCATAAAGAAAAATCTTCAGAGTACCTTAAACTAATACTTTCAGTTATTTTGAAAAAATATGTGTTTTTGAATTCTTTGTGGTAACAAAAAAACAGTTTTAACATATCTTCATAGTCATTGTCTGTACTGCACTATACCAAAATTTCATCAAAATATACAATGTGATTTTAATGTTAGAACCCAAAACGTAGATCTCTAGATTTTATCTTTTGGGCTCAATATCTCGGTTAGGTGGAACATAGACAAAAAAATATATATATAGGAAATCCTAGCGTTATTTTGACCTCCCATATACGCGTCAGCGAGATTAGTACATACTTACACCTTGCATTTTTCTTATTTTCGAGAAAAAATTGGTTATTTCAACAAGTTCCATACACAGTTAAAACTAGATGTAATGAACTTAAAAATGCTCCCTGAAAATGACTACGGATATTTCTCACTTTGACTACGGTGGCGACGGGTTGCTGGTGCACTAGCTGCTGCTGTTGCTGGTCCATCGCGAAGGGCGGCGGCGTGGGGATCTTCTTGGGGATGATTTCCATGGGGACCTGTTCTCCGAGGAGGCGCTCTTTCATCTCGTGGATGTACGGGCAGCGCTGCATGTTGGTGATTTTGTACTGGAACAGCCGGAAGAAAGAAATGAGCGGATGAATAAACGATGGGTGTGTGGGTGCACGGCCGACGGAGCGTGGAGGATCGAGTGGGTCGGCGGCGGCGCCGGTACGGTGTGGGTTAGGGGGAGGTTGCGATATTTATACTACTGTGCATAGTAATATGTCGAATTTTCTGCCGTAAATCTCCAAAAATTGTGGAAATTATCAAATAGTTTTCGTCCTTTTCAAATATGTAGTGATAATAAGATTGTAGTGTCGGAATAGGGCAAGGAAAAAAGGGTCTTTATTTTCTGACTAAGCCAATTTTATTTAAAATCTTCTTAAGGCTGGTGGTAAAACCATTGTCATCTATTAAAATAATTTAACATGTAGTGAATTGAGTCAAATTAAAAAAAAAATAATATATAGATACCTATACATATATTTTGAAGACGATCAAACATAGAAAATCATTATTAAATGAAAAGTAATCAATATTCTTTAAAAATCAATATTTAACTACCACTGTCAAACTAACAACAAATGATGACTTTGTTTTTGAGTTTACTAACAATTTCACAGCCATTCTCGCACGAAATTGGATCATTTTAATTACTAATCACAAAAATCGTCAATAACAGAAAAATTAAAAGAGTGTAGGTATAGGGAAGTGAATATGGACAGATAGAAAGTAAAATTCTACAACAGATTTTGATTAAATATACAGGGTGTTCCATTTAGTTTTGGCGGTTCGAAGTTAACCAAATTTGACAATAAATTTTTACCACCCTGTGTAAAATGAAATAGTTTTTAAAGTAACTGTAATAAATGATAGGCATCCTCCTTATCTTCCTCCCAAATATCAATACTTTAGCTTGCACGATGTAAAAAATAGGCAATTTTGAATCAGGCTATCGAAAAGCAATATTTTTAATATAATTGAAATATCTAGACCATTAGATATAGATATAGGAAACTTCGTAAAAGTCCCCTTAAAATTACGCATAGAATCCAAATATACAAAAATATACAGGGTGTTCCATTTAAAATAAGCAAGCAGATGGCGACTTCCGGTATAACCGGAAGTGCTACAATAATGGCATTATTTTATTTAAAGAGAGCACCCTCGAAAACCCCAAAACCTACATTTTCAAAATTGAAATCGAAGTAGTCTCTGAAATATTCTAATGGGCCGTTAACGCAAGACATCCTGTATAATCAAGCAATGTGTACAGGGTTTTAACAAAAATGAACCAACAAACTTCGGGGGCGTATAAAACTCACAAAAACAGTGGAGGTAAGCCGTATAAACTATTTTAAGTTATGCAACTCAGTTGCGGAGATTTTAAGTAACAATTTGCCTTTATTCAGTAGAATTTCTACGTTTAACTTAAAAAATATTGACAGATTTTTGTCTATAACCCTATTTGGAAAAAAATATTCTTGATTTTGTTATTGTCATGTTATTTCATTTAAGATAATGCGATATATGAACTAAAATTGTGTTTTTTTTTAAATCGAATAACTCCAAAACGGAAAACAGTGCCGGAGAATGACAAGGATATATTTTTTTCAAATATAATTAAAAAACTTCAACGGATTTTTTTTTAAAATCAGAGGCCTAGACACTATTTTTGTCGGAACTTCAACATCAAAAATTATATATGTCTTACTCTTATTATTTTCGTTCTTTATGTATTCGAAGTTTGTCGAATCATTTTTGTTACACGTTGTATACAAATAATTGCGGAGCAATGAAGTGTAACATAAATTACTATAGAAAAGGAAAGAAAGGATGCAATTAAATGAGATCCATGTAGACAGTTACAGAAGTAAAAGTCTGTAAATATATGCTTTTAAGACATTCGTTCATGATTACAATGTTTTCCTTCATAATAGAATATACAACCATCATTATTTATTTAACGGAGCATTCGAATAAATTTTTTAGTACCTGTTGTCCATTTATCAAAGCAAATTTAGAAACGAGGGGAAAATATAAATAATGAATAAAATTGTTAGGTACTTTTTCCTTGTAATTTCCATAATTATCAATTTTATTATTTTAATGTTATGTCACTGTCTGAAATTTAATACAATCTCCTACATTTTACACATACAATACTTCAAAATAGTTTTTCTAAGATACAAATAACATATACAGGGCGTTAATGAACTTATGTCAAAAATTTAAAGGAGTGAAGGAGCAAAAACTCAGTTAACTGGTGTCACAAACTTGTATCGGAAGTTTAAGGTCATAGAGAAAAAAGCTAATTAAAAATATGTTTAAAACTGTTTTGGAACTGCTGAAATACATGTATTTTATCGCGGCGAGCACTTACAAAAAATTCTGTAACACTTTTTACGAGTTTGTAGGTTTCTTATGAAGCCGGACTATATTCGAAAGTCAGTTTGTAATAATGCATTGTTGTAGTGATTGCTGTGCTGTTTTTCGAGAGTGCATTTAATAGCCGCATTTTCAGGCTTTCTTTTGAAAATGGTGCATTTATTTAGCAATCGCGAATATTACGACATGCTCATAATTTATGGCGAAGCAAACGAAAATGCCTACAGAGCTTGTCAAGCGTACCGTGCAAGATATCCTGAACGACTTGTCCCTGCACCGCGAACATTTGTTGCTGTGGCGCAAAGAGTTTTGGGTACCGACCGGTGGAGGACAACCGCGTCGAGGTCGCAACGGTGACCCAGGGCGACCACGAATCTTAAATCTTAAATCTTAAATGTCGAGGAGATGATTTTAGATCTCCCCATCGAAGAAGATCCGCATCGTAGCATCAGAAATATCGCACAGTAAGTAGATAAATATTTCGCATCCTGTTGTGCGGCGGACATTACGAGAAGCTCAGTTGTACCCACTTCATACCTATTTCGCGTGTTCAAGGGCTTACTTCTGAAGATTTTCCACTACGTCGAGTTTTTTGCGAATAGTTGCTTCAGGAACATGCAAGAAATTTTCAATTTACATCGCAAATATTTGTTACAGATGAAGCATGTTTCAATCGACATGGTGTATGTAACGTCCACAAGACTGGACTATCGAAAATCCACACGAAATACGTCACGGTGCCTTTCAGCAACAGTTTTCAGTGAACATGTGGGCCGGTATCGTTAATGACACTTTAATAGGACCTTTTGAACTGCCTAGACGCTTAGACAGTGCCTCATATCTAGATTTCTTGCAAAATCGCTTGCCGGAGTTATTGAAAGACGTGCCATTCCCGATCGCTAGATAGGCCGCGGCAGCCTAGTTAGAGCGAATTGGATACGTCGTGTTGAAGCTTGCGTGCAAGCAAATGGTGGGTACATCGAACATCTTCTATGAAAATCAGCAGCTCTCAAAAGGTGGCTCCTTGTAATGTTGAGGTGTGTCAGATATTAAAATTACATTTTACTCAACACAAATCCGTGTAATTACCTACCTCATTTTGACATAACGGACATGTGGTAAACATATTTGACATAAGTTCATTAACACCTTGTATAAATACTACCTGCGACATAAGTTTAAATTTTATTATTTTTCCTTTTTTAACTGTGTTACATGTGCAACAACATGTATGTATTTATAAAATTACAGTCCAAATTATTTCTCTTAAATACTACTATAAAAATTTCATTATCTTATTTCAAACAGCACGTTAAAATTAAAACGACTTCAGAGAAAAGCCAAACCGCAAAATAGAACCGCGGGGTCTGTATTCTGTACAATGATCGCTCCCAATTAGATCATCTACCTATTATTATACGACCCAAGGACTGAATGTTCGTGATTTTCGGATTTAAAATTAATTATGACTTTCGTTGCGACCTCACTGTATTCTAGTTCGTGAATGTTAAGGATAGACCGCGGTTATATATAATTATTCCGCTGATATTGGAACTTACGGATTACAGCGGAATGGTCGGAGGAGAAATAGAGCGCGACGAAATACTTAATTCGTAATAAATCTTTCTAGGTCGGTCTAACAATAGACTGATTAAAAATTACGAGGGTTCAAGGTTTGGACATAGATTTCCTTATAAATAGGTATCTGATTCCTATTTTGTCAGAGAACATTTTTCGCCATTAGATGTAGTATCTAGAAAATTTAATGTACATGATGATCTTTAAATTTGTACATATATTTTAAGCTGCTGAACAGTTTACTGTGTAGACGAAGTAATGAATAGCTTTTTTGGAAAAAAGGTAGGGTCACAAAATTCAAATATAAAGCAAATATGCATGTTTTGAAGAGATAAAGATATAAATACGCCAAGAAAGTGAGATACGTCGAGACAGAGGCGTTGAGAGAGATTAAAACAGATAGATAGACAGACAGACAGACAGACAGACAAACAGAGAAATAGAGAGGTAGATAGACAGATAGACACAATGATAGACAAACAGACAGATAGACAGTCAGACAGATAGACAGACTGATAGACAAACAGACAGATAGACAGACTGATAGACATACAGACAGACAGATAAGGGGGTTTGGTATAAAATATCATTATATCCAACGTATTTATCGTGTGACCATGAAATTCATTATGAAATTTAATATCTCAGATATTTATATATGTCCATCACAAATTATATCTGTATAAGGGCTCAACTAGAAACTTGTCGATAGACATTTCAATTCCAAGATGCAGGAAATATAGCAATAACTATCGTGTTCTAGTTTTCAATGAAGGATAAACTGGATAACTATCATCAGGTACCTATAGTTTTAGTTTAGAAAAGATAGACCGCTGACTAAAATAAAAAAGATTCCTTATATAAAATCTACACACATGTCTTTCCGAAGTCAGTTGAACATGTATAAAAACGCCTAGCAATAAAATTTAATGAATTTCATAGGCGTACCTAAAATAGTTTCCTGTTAAAGGTAAAAAACTATAATAATTTGTATATAATGTGTAGAAAATTTCTATTATACATATATGTTCATTTGACCAACAACATTTCTGAGATCCTCATTCATGCATTTCAGCAAAGTTTTGCTACAGGTTTAAGA